TCCCTTCTCTCCCCAGCTGCCTGTCTACCATCAGCGCCTTCCTGGTGAAGGGAGCAAAGGGAGGTCAGGCAAGGGACAAGAAGTGTGTGCCCTCATGGTTTTAGGTTTCAAATCCTGGGAGATCCGGAGGCTGCAATTACTCTTTCCATAGGTGTGTTTCCAGAAAAGAGCAGACAGGCCCAGAACAGGATCACCTTTGCCCAGGCAATTTTGGTCCAAGACACTCATTGTTTAGCAAAGGCTCAAATATCACCTCCTAAACACAAAGGGAGGTGTGACCTAGATTCATACTCATACACTCTTTGAAAGTTAGAGAACTAAACTACCCTGTGTGTTCCTTTTACAGCCCATTTGGCTTGAAGCTAAGAATTTGGGAGCAAATGCACAGTCACAGATGGAGGGGCTGTGTCACACGTGGGTGAGCTGACAGCAGGTGACTGCCCAGGGTCTGTGAAAGCCTCCCACTTGCCACCAAGTATTCTGTAATTCTATCTGAAAGCTTTTTCCAATAGAAAATGAAACACATAAGTATGAAGTTAGGAACATGTTCTCCTGCCTGGGCACAAGACCTCATCGAATGCCAGCTGTATTGATTGAGCTGGGCTCCTTTGTGTTCTGTGCCTTCTGAGGTACCCTTCCTGCAGCCTCCCCTACTCAAAGGAGAGGTTGCACGACACAAACATTTCTCATTTCTTCATCTGGAAGGTAATGCAGATGTTTTAAACCACTATGAATTATTCCAACAAATGCTACTCTTGCAGAATCAGAAGTGTGAGGGAAAGATGAATAGAACATATTTAAAAATAAAAGCCTTTTTCACTGTTTTTGTTTTGGAGAGCGGCCAGACAAAACTAAAAGAAATTGATCTGAATAGTAGTAGATTTTGTCTGTGAGCTTCAGGAAGTGTCAGGTCTTTTAAATTGTGCCTTGGTTTCCTCTAATACATGTATAAAATAAATATGCCAAACCATTTCGAGAAAAGTCGCACTCCATGTAATCACAGCATTAATTAATTCCCCAAAGAATTTCCCACAGAACAAGTTGCAACATGATCATTTAATCCTTCAGCCACCAGAGGACGGAGGTGCATCTTCCCTCAGGCCTCCTGTGTTCCTGAGGCTCAGTGTACCTCTGGGAGATACTAGGTCAGTTGTTGAACAAATCTGCCATCGAAAACCAGAAAGCTTTTCTAGGTTCACCAAATAAATGTCTGCAGACTGGAAACCAGGATACCTAGGTTGTAGCCCAGGGTGAACTTAGACAAACCACAATTTCTGGGGACGCTACTTTTCTCATGCATAAAACAAAACTGTAGAGGTGATGGACTTCTACGGTGCTTTCCAGTCTGAAAATTGCATGACAGAAATAAATGACACAAGAATTAAGTAGATTTTGGTGCTTTCTTTCTCCCCATCTGGTGTTTGCTGTTTATTTGGTTGGTAGACTCACACAGAGCTATTTTATCTTGAAAAATAGCACATAATTCTTCAGGATGAGTGGCATTTCTACTTTGTGGTATTTTCCCACAGTCTAATCTTCCTTCTCTTTTCAGTTGTCACTAGAAGGTGGGTCTCACTGATAGTTCTTGGTTCATTAAGAAGAAACAGAAAGATCCTGTGTTTTGAGAGACTCTTTCTGGATCCTTTCCCAATGATCATAAGACTTTGTAATCCATTTGGCAAAGGTGATGGTGACAATGGGGTGTTTGGCAAAGTGGATGAGGTGGTTGATGAAATGGCTGAGGTTAAGAAGAATGCTGTTGGCAAGACATCGTGAAACAAGGTCTGGAATGTTCAAAACAGAGAGCTTGCCTCTCTTGCTGAGATGACTCTGAGAAAAATTCAATCTTTAAATAAGCTATTTATTTAATAGGAAAAGAAGAAAAGAGTATCAACTACTATAATTTTTCTGAGCACTGAGCTGAGAAATAGCTAGTCTAATACTTCAATTATAACCCCGAACGGAGATGTCTTTAAACAATATAAAAGTTAAATTAAACAAAACAGGCAGATATGTTGAAACCAGTCACTGAAATTCAAAATTACATTTAAAATTTTAAGTCAGTCACAAAATAATAGACGAGAATCTAACCTTGCATTCAGCACAACTCACTCCTAAAATCTGAATAAAGCCTGAGACTAAGAGGTTATTATTTTTATGGAGTCAGCCCTACCCTACTGTCACCCCAAAATACCTACAGACGAGTCTGTGGGGACCAGGGTAATGTCTAAACAAACCGAGTGTCAGCACTCTAAAATTGTTGTCAAAATTCTTCTGCTATTCATGGTCATCAGATTTCACAGAAACTTCACGGGTCAAACTTTCGTCACTTGGCCAGGTGTGTGTGTGTGTGTGTGTGTGTGTGTGTGTGTGTGTGTGTGTGTGTGCGTGCGCGCGTACTTTTCATTTTTTTTTGCAACCAATGCTACCAGCTGCAACACTTTAATGACTATTTGTGGAACACCAGGGACCTTCCCTTATCATTCACTGGGGATAAGAATAGTGGCTGAACGCTCAGGACAGGTCTCTGAAGGGAGGAAGAGCTAATAACATCACACGATTAAACCTCTGCAAACTAGAGACATTTCAGAGTAATAATTGTTGATGTATTTTATTTAAAACTATGCATAGAATCCTTAACGATGCTGTCACCTCCAAAAAAACAATAAAAAGAGAGAAAGAAGACTTGAAGTTTGTGTTTGGTGTGTTTTCAGGCATTTTGAGTTAATCAAAAAGGTCAGTCTGTTCTACTGGGTCTCAAATGCTATAGAGCTAAAGGTACCCGTCACTGTCTTACAAATGAGTATTTAAGGTATACTAACTTTACCTTTTTTTTTTTTTTTTTTAAGACATTTACTTTACCTTGTAGACATTTAGGTTATAGTATAAATAAAACTAGTATTATTTGTGATTTATTAGCAGAGTTCCTTAGTTATAGTTAGTATGTGTCTTTGCTATGGTGACATAGAAGGGTTGAACTATCTCATAGCAAATCGAGCCTTGTTTAAGATATAGAAGA